CTGATACTGAAGCTGTATGATTCGTCAAAGGTTTCCGGTAGTCCGAAGGAGTACTTCCATTTGATATAGGCCTCAGACATCTCTTCGATGAGGGGAGCCCAAGCAGCATTCAGAGTCTGTATTCGATACTTCCATGTCCGTCCATCCTTGTACTTGCGACGCCCGTGCCACCTAGATAAGTACTAGGATAGCTGGAGCCTCAATAAAACAAGATGGATACATACCTTCCAACCTGAATAACATCCCGAATATCAACTGATACATCCTCTGTATTCTCTGCAACCCCTTCACCCCCTTCATCATCTCCGAAACCTACATCAACGCCGATATCATCCACATCCATTGGCTGATAGTTCTGAGAACGGCTTTGTGAGGGCCCCGCAATATCATCCAAGGCCTTCTGAAACTCCCGACTAAGACCTACAGGCAGTGTTAGCAATGCGCCGTTTACAACAACCCTCTACCTACCTTCACTTGCTTGATAACTTCTTAATGCAGCCTGTTCTCTTTTGTGTGCAATTGCAACAGGCCCCAATTTCAGAGTTTGGGTGAGAGCTGATGAAAATCTGCCAGCTCCGACTGTAGAACGAATGGAGCGTGAAATGCGAATTTTTTTCTTAGACATGTGTAAAATCAAGTGGGCGGAATGAGTGGTAGCACAGAATGTATGGTTGAGGTATACAGGCATAATACTACTTAAAACACTGTTGCTACCATGCACCTACTACATACCTTGGGGCTCAGTAGACCAAGCATTGAAGGCATAGCCTGGAACAATGTACTAAGTGGAGTACCAGCAAAAGCGGCAGGCGGGATAGATAACCTTCAGGATTTTCAGTAGACCCATAGCAGTAGCAATATGAATTGAATTATACACCGGTGCCTACAATGGTATGAGTGCATAGTATTGGGTGGGAGTCGGGAAGCGGGAGGCGGGAGTCAGGAGTCGGGAGTCGGGGCGGTCTGTAAGATCTATAAGCGCCAACAAGGAGAAGCGCTGGTCGGGACCTTTGGACATGCTGTAAGATCTCACGGATGTTACGGGCAATGTGCTCCGATGATAAGACTGCTTATGAGAAGGCATAATCAGCTGGGCTGGACCCCTTCTATATTGAGAAAAGCTAGAAATATTGGCAAATTTATTGGCAATGTAGGGGAATAAGCTACATCAAGGGCTATAACCCTGTCATGTGAATCGACATGACAGGTCTATATATCATGGTTGTTGGAATGTCGAGGTGTCTCGTTGTGCTATTTTTACACCGGTATTTTACGATAGCCTACAATCGATTTCGCATACACCTCACACAAACCATGATGTGACAATTTCTGCAGCCCTATGTCAATTATATTGATCAATAGAGGGGTCTTTCCAGAAAAAAAACTTGTAGTCTTACCTTTAAGAACAGAGGTAGGAAATTCTCACATTCCTCACACGTACCTCCTCCTTGATGATGCCTCCATCGATGAGGGTTGCAATCATGATAGTACCTCAACTCTTGTGTCCTCTGCTCGACACGTCTTTGAAACACGGCTGGCTCTGCCACCCGTGCCACCGCACCGAATTCTTGCTCGACTCTCGCTTCTGCTGCATTCAGCAACCTGTTCTCCTCCCATTGTGGACATTCACATTCCTTCCATGGAGCAGCACACATGTAACAGAATTGCATACGACAAGTGCAAGTCATATGGTAACAGCCGACCTTGAGTTCGATAATGGAACTGCATCGAGGGCAAGTTTGCCAATGCTCTTTCGTCGCAAGAGCTTTGAGCTCCAGAAGCGCGATATTTTCAGCGCAGCTCTCGCTGGGATGGGAACGCTCTTTGCAAAGAGCACAAGTCGAAACATAGCATTGGGAACAAAGGATGTTTGAGGTTTGAGCCCCAGCGGATGAGCCGAGAAATTTGGAACAAATTGGAGCTGAACAGTAGACCCTATCGTTGGCAAGAGTTCCAAATTCATGAGATTTATTCTCAAATCTTGTCCGCAAGTCGTCGGGGAGCAGCTGGAGTACATCCGCCACAGGTAGGGACTGTTGACAGCATCGAAGAGGAAATAACGATTCGTCGCCGATGCAGGCCAGGACGAGGTCCCGAAGACACTTGAAGCAGTAGTAATCTTTGCATGGTGCTTGGAAGGTATTTGATGAGCGAAAGGAATCTGTACAGATAATACAGTGGACTCTGAAGACCGAAAGGTGTCAATATACTCTCCAAGAGTTGAAAACACGTCTTACTGAAAAGGTTTACTACCTCCAAAGTCTGTCCTACAGGAAAATGAACAAGATGTCACTCTTGCAAAGCGACTTCGACCCACGCTCCAGAATCCACCGCTGAATCCTCCAACGCCTTCTGGGCGTCCGATTTATCAGGCAATACCTGTCCTAGCGAAAGAGCCTGGGCATAACGGTGATCATCGACTGCCCCCAGCTCTTCCACGCTCAATTTTGCCAATATAGCCTGGTCAACGTCGATAGCATGCTGAAGACTGAAGGCAAGCCGCAAACTACCAACTACCGCCGCGTTCTCCTCTTCAAAAAGCTTAAATGCGATTTCCTCGTCGGTTATAGGATTGTCCTCGCGTGCTTTTCCCTTACGGGCAAATGTAATGTCGCGTATTTCGTCGAGTGTGAGCTGGGAACTGACGAGGGAAGCCAGGCAGTCCGCAGATTCAAGCTCCATGGTAGTGCAAAAAAGCAAGGATTCGAACAGAGAAGCAAGGTTTTTCAACGGCGATAAAACTGTATCACATTGTCAAAAGCGTCAAAAAAGTGTAACTACGGAGAGCCTCAATATCTATGCAAGCATGAAAACGTTGGAGTTTGAGCGACAAAAATAAGATTATCTGATCTGATCCAGGAGAAAGTACCCAATGGGCAATATTACCCAATATTTGTTTCAGCCACGGCAAACACAGATCGATGCCCACACAGATCCACAGTGATAGCAGAATTCCGACCGACACCGGCATACTATATGATTGCATCCTTCAGTGAGCTCAACAAGTGCCTTGCATCCAGGACAAGTTTGCCATTCGTTCGAGCGAGCGAGGTCGCGTAGTTTGTCTTCTGCAAAGTGCTCCTCGATAATAGGACAGGTGAGAGTCTCTGAGTGAGCAGGGTCTTTGCACAAAACGCAGAATTGTTCAAAGCACGAAGGGCATTGGTGCGAGGGAGGTGGACTGAGGTTCGATGAGCTCTGATTTAGTGTGTCGGGAACGTTATAAGACTGTTTAAGAGAGCCCCACGATCCGAGGAACGCAGAACAACGAGGAGAGGGACAGTACACCCGATCTTCAGGGCGAACATAGAGTTCCAAGGCTTTTGCATTGAACCGATTTCCTAGATCAGGGCCGATTTCAAGTTTTTCGAATGGTTGGACGGGGTTTTCCATAGATGAGCTGTGATCCTTCTTCTCTGTGATGAAACTCATGGTACTTCCGCAGCACTTCGGAGGAAATAAATTATCATTGCTGATGCACGTTTCGATGTAGTGTGTTAGACACGAGCCGCAGTAGTGGTGTCCGCAAGGTTGAACGAAAAGGGGAGTCTCTTCATCCAAGCTTTCTGTGCATGCTACACATTCAGGTATTGGTTCAGTGAGATGTCTGCACACCGAGACGTATTAAGTCAGTAAGCGAGTTCCGAAAAAATTAGTCACACCCTGTGTGTGAGTCTTGACACGAATATACAAGTTCAGATGCAGTGGAGTCCGGAGGAAATGTAGACAGCGAGCTTGATTAATATGGTTAATGAGGATATTCGTTAACGAGAACAAGAGAAAACGATCCCCGAATGTGTTTACCTTGAAGAGGCTTCATGCGATTCGTCGTGCGAGTACGAACTGCTGGACGAAGAAGCAGCATCGCTAGTTGGATATCTTTCCTCGTTGGGGTCTTCGGCGGGTTGAGCGTCATTAAAGAATGACAATACTTGTGCAAACTCTTCTGCCATGACCTCCAAGGCATATTCCTGGTCCGGATATGTATTTCCACCACGAAGCTCACGAATATCATCTAGAGCAAGCTGAGCTATGAGAAGAGCAGAACCTCGATCAACGTTGCTTAATGGTAGTGAAGTAGTCGCCATCGGGAAGTCGCCTAGTGGAAGTAGCAGAGATCGCAACACAAACACGTTGGTGGTCCAGCGATTAACGATTTCACACTAGACAGAAACTTTGTGCTATAGCTTTCAACAGGTGTCAATAGAACTGGATCTATATGAAAAGATAGATCAGATGAGCGATTTCCACTGGATAACAAACTTTGAGTTCCACATCGAAGGAGAGTGATCTCAAGTAAGAAGTCGAAGTCGGAACGATGGTCTATGCCACTCATTGAGCGTCGCAATGGACAAGTTCTCTGTATTCAACGATTTGACGTCGATACTACGAGCGTCGCAACGGTAAATGTTGTACGATTGTATGAGCGACGCGTGTAGAGTACGGAGTGACATAAAAGCTGACGAGTGCCCTGTATATCAGTGAGTGAGAACAGCAATGAATATAAAGACGTCGATTGTGAATCCCACCAGAGCGCGCCTTGGAACAAGGGACTCAATATCTGATCTCGCGCCGTCACCCATAAAACATGCATCCATTCAACTTCTATGACCTCCTTCAATTCATTTTCATCATCCTGCTTAACTCCCGCCTCTTGGATTTCTTTCTTAGTAGACTTGTGCTTCGAGGTACGCAGGTGGATATATGGTTGTATACTTCGCAGGTAACTGGGTTCGAAACGCAGGTCCGGAATTATGGGGAGATGGGGACGGTGGTAATGATGTAGTGAATTCGAGGGCATGGTCGTGGCCGTCCGGTTACAAGTGCTTGCCGGCGCTTACTTTGTCTATATTTTCAAATATGCATGATGCGCGATGTGGGCTCAAGGGGCGGATGTAATAGATGGTTGCTTCTCTCTTTCTCTGAAGGTACATAAGGCAACTGGACTGTCTACATGCCGGAAGTAAGAAAAACCAATCCCAACATGAACTCAAAAAAAAGGGCCTAACCGGGAATTGAACCCGGGACCTCTCCCAATCTAGCAGCCTCAAGCTGCGAGCAAGCCGCCCGAAGGGAGAATCATACTACTAGACCATCAGGCCGACAAGCGAGACAAATATAGCCAACACTATCACTACGAGGGACTACATACCTCCGGAATTCTCCCCTATTCAGTAATTGCTCATCAAGAGCTTCACGATCACGATATAATCACAGCCACAATGGAAAGGATCAGCACCACCGTTATAGTTATCCGACCCAGCCATGCAAAAGCCAGGAGGACAGAAGCAGGCAGGAATCAACTGACAAGCTTGGAATTGCAAACACGATCCAACCCCTTGGAAGATATTCTTCAAACAACGGATTGTCCAAGGTTATCGTAAGAAAATATGGTGACTAGCCGACGCTCCTGCTGCCCCTCCTGTCCAGAACAACCACATCATCACCACGCCGATGAGTTCTTGTCAATATAGACGTGAAGACTCAAGCTTCAGGGTTTCTACGAAGAATAAACTGATCAATAAGCCTATGTGTAGTAAGCGTCAAAGAAGCAAGTTCAGCAGGCTGTAAAGCGATTCGGCGGTGATTGGATAGGATTGGATCTGATCCTCTGATAAAAGTCAATGTGAGCGAGGGTACTGCATATTGATATGATATGTGACATAAGACGCACCGTAAAACTTTGCTTACAAAGTAGCGTTGATCTTAGCGCAACAAAGTACAAACAAGACGAAGGTGCCAAAGACAAGCTAATTGCTAATTCACGCAGGCAAAAAGTGCATCAGAAGTCAGAACCACTTCGACGACATGAAACATAAGATGCACCAAAACTGAGCAGTGCCTAGCTCGAAATAGCCCCAGATTAGTGCTTTAGCATCTCGGACCATTATTTTCTTGTTAATGGAGGAGAATTGGTAGAAAGTTGAATGAGGGATAAATTTGACGCAGAGAAAGAAAAACAAAAAGACGCGCTAAACGTGTAGGGGGCATGATTCTGTCCTATATAGGCTTATGACAACCAGCAACATGAATTCGCTCAAGCTTAACAGAGCCTTGCCCATATGGATTAATGGATATTCTTTTTGCAGTGAAGAAAATTTTCAAGAAAGTGGTGAGAAAATTTGTCACGGGCGCTTCTAAGGCGATTTCGAATGTTTCTATCTTGGTAGTCGACATCTACATACATCCTTGCACATTTCCATTTCTGCAGTTTTGGATTCTGGATGAAAACTGCTTGGAAGCGAGGCCTAAAGTTTGAGGTCCTATCCCTTTATTACCGCTAATCTACAAGTCAAACCTCGTAACTCGCAAATCAGGTAAAACTGAAATCACCGCTGAAAGTCTGCGGGTCGAGACAGACGCAAATTCGGTCAAAAGTACATGAACTCAAAGTAGATTACTGCTCGAAGCTCGAAGTCCAAACCAAAGCTTCAAGGATGAACGAATATCAAAAGCCTTATCTGAGACTTGACAACAATATCCGGTAACCAGAACACCAGAAAATTTTACAATCTTGCTAACATAGGTTGTACAGAATCGTGCTCGTACTTTTCCAGTGCTTTCATAAACCTATACCACCTTCCATCGTGCCATTGCATTAAACCTCTCCATTCCTCGCTGTCCGCTCCAAAAACGGTCCGAAAGGAACACAACCAGCCTGCAACTGTAAAGTCTGCGAAGCATGGCAAATTTCCTCCCATGATTAAAATATCGCTTTTTCGCATAGTCCTATCGAGCATACCAAGTCCCTCCTCGAACCTCCGCCATTCCTGATCCCTTTTCTCAGACCCTTTGGCCGGGTATAACTCGGTGAGTTCCATTCCGAACATTTCCTTCCGAGTGCGGCGAAAATATACCTCGCTTCGTGGATTCAACACACATGCAATCGATGGAATAAGAAATTGGAGCATAGGTTCTATTCTCGCCGGAAATAGGTCGTTAAAAGACGCGTGGAATGCATGAGTACCATTGGGAAAAAGGGGAGGAGACGGGTATGTCTCTTCGAGGTATTGTGCGATGGTGAATGAGTCTGAGACGACGGCGTTTGTAACGGAATCGTGGATGACTGGAAGTGTATATTTCGGGCTACCGTCAGGCTTAGTTTCGGTGGGCGCGGCGCCGAGCAGCTGCATGATATGCTCGAGGTCAGGAAACTCGACCAGGACTGTTCGGTACGGGAGGTTCTTGTACACAAGACTATACCTGGAGAGAAAAGTCGTTAAAATGAAAGCCGATTTTTTTAATGAAATCATCCACCTCGTCTTCCAAACATTCGGATTCCAAGCGGTATGCTCATCTCGTTTGGCGGGAAAGTCGTATAGTGTTATGGTCATGGTAACGGATATTCTTGGGATCACAGAAAGTGAGTAGTGCTTCGAATTTATCCTGAGTGTTTGAGTGAGACATTTTATAGCCTCAGATATGAGGTGTGGCACCGTATGACGAAGGGGTCTACATGACTAGTTTATTCATCTGTAATCCTAGTGGTCTGGCATATCGATCTATTCTCATGGTCACAAAACTCAGCATTCATTGAAGGCGTCCTTATTTTGGAAGTAACCTCTGAACTTATGGAGCTGGAAGGGAAATAACAGTAACCGTTTTAGACGATGGGAAGTCAATGGGAAGCATGTACCTTGCTTCCTCTAAATTCCCATCGAAAAAATCTCCGGGGTTCAACACAGTATGTATACTATACTTACGAGACTCTGACGGGGGAATCATCGGGTCTAGTGACTGACGCAATTTGACTACAATGGGCTTGAAGGATGAGCAGATATTACCATTATACCTGAGTGGCAGTATTATAATGTACACCGCACTATTCCTTCTGTCATAATTTCCGGCTTTTCAAATCTGCGCTAAGAATCACCCTAAAGATCAGTGGTGATCTACTAAGACTTCTGAATATCAGAAGATAAAGGAAAGGGGAAAAGGCGCGATTCCAAGCGAAAAACTGGAATGACTTAAAATTGCGGGCAAAGGCAAGAACGAAAGTAGAAGAATTAGAGCCCAATTTGCATAAACCGTTGAAGCCGTTGTAATTCCCTGAGACTATGAGGTACATTTTCCAGCAAGATGAACTTGATGATGATTGGAAGAACTTCCATTGAGATAACAAACCGAGAGTATTGAAATCACATGAAAAAGGCATAAGCTGACTTGCCACTCGTAAGTATTCGTCGAAGAAATAAGTGCAGAAGGCGCGGCTGCGCTGTTAGCCTATGACTTCCTTTGCAGTAATCGAAAATCATCTCCCGGAAAATAGGCCAAAAAAATTCGCCCGAAGCACGTTACTGGCACAGTAAGAAGAAAGCCTCCGAGTTCAAGAATAAGGAGCGATTCGGAAGAAGCAGATCATCCACTTATCAACAAATCAGAATGCAGAGCCCGACATGTGTTGGTAAGGCTTCTCTCGGGAAAATGAGGCTGTTGTATATTTGGACTTCTCAGCTTCTCTCAGGCGCCTGAAAGATCTGCAAATGCCTTAGAAGAAAGGAAATTTCTTGGGAATTTTTGAGAATCGTGAACTGCTGTCGATGTCGACTTTTTGCGACGGCGGCTGTAGTCAAGTCGTCGAAATCTAGAGAGAAATGAAGCTTGTCAATCTTCGAAAAAGTTCACCATTAGCCTCCATTAGCTTGTCAGTTACCAATTCCCGCTTTCAGAACAAAGTTATGTGATCAGCTTGGTGTGTATCGCCTTCTTAGCTCAGTGGTAGAGCGTTGCACTTGTATAATGAGATTCAATTGAAAATGCAAAGGTCAGTCGTTCAATCCGGCTAGGAGGCATGTGTTGTGTTTTTGGTTAGTCTGTACTGCATGTGTATCATCGAGCGGCTTTTGAGTCTCCATACACCTGCTGTGATGTATATTTTTCAGTCTTGAGTATCTCAACGCAATATCAATGCGCGATGTATATATACTAGTGTTGAGGAACCGGTCAAAGTTATGTACATTTTCCACCAAGTCTGATGTTATATCGCCAAGTAATGGAATGGCCAAGGGTTCGAAGTTCCCTCATATTTAATAACAATTGACCAAGAGATCCTCTCCATATCTGCAGTGTGAAATGTTGTAGTCTAAGGATATGCAATCAAACAATGCATATCAAGAATCAAGATTGAAAGTAGAAGTACCATCCTGAAGCTTGAGAAGTACCAGCAAATTGCAAAGTCAACTTTAGCTATCCCATGGGTACTTGGGCCTCACACCTCACGTCAGCAGCAAAGCAAAATTCATCAATGGGGCACTGTCCTTTACAGTGACAGTTATATTTGGATTTTCATGCGATCACAACAACCCACAGTCATTCAGGATTCCTTGGCCTGCTCACAGAATCCAGCCCAAAATCCTTTCGCAAGCACTGCGACCCCCCAAGCCCCTGGGTCTGGGGGTAGCTCCAATCCTTCTTTTAATTCCACATATACCGCGCGTCCCAGTTTAGGCTTCATACCTCTCGTGCTAATGGCTCCTTCGTGAGCTCGGCGGCAGGCTTCAGCGACTAGATTACCGTTTGGACACTGCGTGGAACTTTCCAACCCGACTGCATCTACATTCCTGCTACCTGACGATGTAAGTGTAGCATCACATAGCGGATATAATGCATCCATGATGGTTCTATCGCCAGGTTTAGCCGGTGTGTGGTGAGAAAGGGAGGCTAAAGCGTCAGAGAGCGTGTCCATGAAGCGTACAGAGGAGACGGATGTTGAGGATGGGTGAATCATGCGCTTTATAGCGGACGACCAAGCGGTGAAAAAGATGGCGAATACTGAGGCGAACTTAGAGCGATCTTTTCACATGAGACGCCGGCGGAAGCAAATGCTCACATGCGCCAATGGTCCCACCCATGTTGTCCTCGATAATTTCGCCGATACGGTGGATTAACTGATCTGGTGGAAGTTTACTGACCTCGAGTTGTTGCGTTTCGACGGAAAACAGAATTGCTGCAATTGGAAGCATTAGTGGAATTTCCTAGTCAGAGATACATAGGAAATTTCATACACCTTTTGCCCCCCGCGAGAACGTCGTACCACAATCCCCATCCCCCACGATGGTGTCATACTGTGTCAACAAGGTTTCTTCTCCAAGAACAGCCATACATGCTCCTATTATCCCTTCTTTTACTCTCTCGGGCGACACGTCTGCATACTGCCAGTAGGTCGTTTCTGCAGGAGGTTTATCATCCTGCGCTTTGGAAGTTCTGCTTCCCCTCGACATCAAATCCAGCACCATTTCTGTCGCGTGATGATGACCACGCAAGTCTTTCCTGCCATCTAAAGACCAAAAACGACGAAGACCGACCCAGGAGTGGGCTTCGGTCGGATCATCTAATAATCCTAGAATGTCGATTGAATGGTAAATGGCGGAGGGGCGTGATGATCGATAGACACCAGAAACATTGAGAAGGGAGATGGAGAAACCAGGGGCGTTTAGTGAAGTCATGAAAGACGAGCTATATATTCTTAATGGGTGTATGTCGGAAAGAGCTGGAAAACCTCTGAGCTTCTTCTCTAACGAGTCTAAATGTAACGCACCAAGTCTAGCGAGGATGTCGGTCATTATTGCTCCCATTTCGAGTTGGGACATCCCTCCCAAATTGTTCACGAATAAGACGGTAATATCTCCTTCCTGAACAAAACTATCTCTACCTCCATCTACGACACCTCGCGAGCGCAATAACTTCCCTATTAGCTCATCGATAAGCTTCACTGAATCCCTTATGTCCATCCTATGTACGCCCGGTTCGTTATGGAGTCCCAGCCCTACTTCACACTCATTATCACCAATAGTGGCAATATAAGAGTTATTACCAGGTATATGGCAATGATCCAGCCCAACACCGATACTTGCGAGATGAGAAACAATAGTGTCTCCCGCGTGTTTAAGGTTTTCAAGGGAGGATCCTCGTTCAGCTAGGGCTCCCAAGATTTTGCAGACGAGTATATTACCGGCAAGCCCTCGTGGACCAACAAGACTAGAGCTTTCAGAATGAAGAAGCGAAACGTCGTCAGCCACGACGACACTATCAACCCGGATCCCTTCAGCCCGAGCCTTCTCGATCGCAAGGCCGAAGTTGAGTCGGTCTCCAGTATAGTTGTTGATGATAGCAAGGACATCCTTCCTATGAGGAACGTGGATAGCAGATCTGTCTGTGATAGTATTCCTTCTGGGGTGAACGTCTTCGCCGGCGTAAGCCGCTAGACGAATCGTAGAGAGTATCTGTTTAGCGCTCGGACTTGCAAAGATCTCGCCGGAGACAGATGCGGCAAGCATGCCATAGCCTGTATAGGATGCATGGGCTGGTTCATGGCCTGCCCCTCCGCCGGAAATCACGGAGACCTTGGCTTGTAAGGATGGAGGGGAGACGTAGATCGTTTGAGAGGCTTGATGTCTAAGCAGAATGAATTAACTGAGCAAAATAAGCCGAAGCTAGACTCACAAGCGAAGAGAGGGATTCAAAGCAACGGCGCCTTGAAGAGATTTCATCACCAATCCATCTGAAGAACTGTATACGTGCTTCCGAGACATGATGGTCGACGATTGTAGTTCTCAGGATTTCAGCATTCGTTCACCACTGGGATTAAAGTAGTCAGCTGTTTTCGGATCAGCTGAGAATCGAGGCTGAATAGGAAGACTTGTATTGAAATAACACCGAAAACGTTCGGAGTGCGTCGCGTAAGTTGTCGGAACATCGATAAGAATATTTCAACGTGAACTTTGAAGATGGTGAAGGGTTTTCACTGAAAGCGCGGGAAACAACCTGAACCTCAGTTGGAGTCATTTGTATTTCGTAAGCCGTCCACTCCGCGCATAATCACACGCACTGCAGTGTTAGTACCCACAACCTCGCGAACGCTTTTGGGTCTTGTTGCCAAAAAAATGCTAAATCGTTGTACATTCGTCTAGTGGTTGCTCAAAAAACTCACTGCTGATATAGATATCTTACTCTAAGGCTTCAAGGATAAGGTTCGTTACAAAACTGGCAATTTTTAGAGAACAAACACTTGTACCTCACTGAGTGAGAGAAAATGAACCGTCAGTTGGTCAACATTCAGAGCTCTTGGGATGAGTTCCTCCATCATCGAGTCGGTTGTTGTAGGGGGTTGCGGATTGACCATGTCCCATCCTCCATTCCAAGGTGTGTAAGCAAGGAAATAACAGTCCATATCGCTTAGAAGTGAAGACGGCTAATTTGAACACTGTTCTTCGGCATTGTAGCGAAACTTGTGGACCTGACTAGTAAAATACTGCCTGGCTGGGCCCTGGCACTGTGCCACTATGATAGTAGCAAATCATGATGTTTACGAAGAATTGGCAGCATCGTATTTCACGTGCAGTTCTTTTCATTGAACACCTTCCTCAATGCAAAAGAAATGTATACTCCACACACCTATGCTCGAACTGTACCGCCCAATGACATTCTCCCCAGAGTTCAACCCCATAAGCAGTGTTATTCCAGTGTCCGTGGTCGTCGGTTACAACAGTAGTTCAACTGCATAAAAATCACTTTCTTCAAGCTTGTAGCCCATCTGATACATAGCGCCAATATCTTGAACCATGCCATCTATTGAAGCCAAGAAAGATGGTGACCAATTTGTAGTAGAAGGTGGGTATCAATATCGTCTGAATTCTACTTGCATTGATTCGACAAAGTTTGTAGGAGTTGAATTCCTGTGGGAAGACCCCCCGCATTCAAAGGCTAAGCCTAAGAGATTCACTGTGAAGAAAAACGCGCACAACGAAGCGATAATAGGGAAGAAATTCTTTGGAAGCGACAATACTGTAGTAGGCTCGAAGCATGCAATATTGAAGTTCGATGAGGTGAAAGTGCGTCACTGGTGTTCTCACTAACGATAGAATCTCATCGATAAAGCTTAGGTATATATCACAGACACAGGATCCAAAAACGGGACATGGTCGAGTTCAGCGGGCGAACTTGTATCAGGGAAAGCATACGTGCTGAAAGATGGAAGTACGATAGTCTTTGGTGAAAAGCATGATAAGACAGATAAGGTGTGCAGGCTACTTATGTATAATGAACTTCCACTTCAGAAGATTAATGATACTGCCTAGAGTCCTGACGCCATTCGTGTAAAGATCAACATTCTCAAATCCGAACCTCAGCCAAAACTCAAATCGATTCTCAAAGTAACATCGATCAAACAGGACGATAAGCTGAAGGTCCCCGCACCTCCATTAGCGAGATCTGTTACTCCTGATACTTTGAAGCCTCCAGATGACCCAAAGAAACACCGTCGGGTCGTTAGCTTGGAGATTCCTTCTAAGAAAGACAAGCCCTCACCAGTGGTACAAGTAGGAACATATACGTACCACACATCGTCTATTCCATCTAATCCGCTGTTTCTGTTTAGCGACCGATTCAGAACGCTGTCGCTAGCACAGAACTCCAGCGCGAAGTCAAGATACCCTGGTCCGAAACATTTCGACTAGGTTTTGGCGTAGATGCTCTCACCGGAGAATCAATGGCTGGTACTGCCATAACATCATTCGAAATGTCTGGTTCGCCGAGGCCTAAACAGGTGAAAACGTATGTCGACACCTTGCATTGGAACGGTATCAAGTCTTTACAAGATGAATATGATATCGAAATCGGTGGAACTGTCAACGTCGCTCCCGCTTCTATCTCGATGAGCACCCGAATATCTTCACTTTTGTCGAAGAATGCATCAGCATCGACGGTGCTGATACAGTACAGGGTGATTGGAGAATTTGAACCAGAGTTCATTCCATCAAATGTAGCGTTGCAGAATGGTCTAAGCGATCTTTCG